AGATGCTGCCGGAGACCCACCAGAGGACGTAGCAAAATCTACTTTAGAATAAACACATTAGGTCTTGGAAACAATTACCATCATTAGCTGTGTATAAAAGCAAATGAAACCATATAAAGTATTGATAGAAGTCAGAAAAAAAGTTGAATACCACGACTGGAAGAGACAGGTAAAAAATAAGGAACTATGGGAACATGAAGGAAAAGTGATAAAAGACGCGGCCATCAACTCAGGGGCTGAAAGCCAGCAAGCGGTCCTGAACGGTGAACACTGCAGGACAAGGTGAAAGTGGAAGCAAAGGTATAAAGTGGTGGGGGGTAGGGGAGAGATTTAAAATTCGCTTAAAAGGAAACCATGAAAGAGTAAAAAGGCAGATTATCACTACGTCAATAACATACATCAAAATTAAATAGCTTTAATCATGAAAAAAATGCAAAGATGAAGATATATAAAAGCCTTCAGTGGATCAGGAAATATCAAATCTATATTCTGTTATAGTATAAAGCAACTGAAAAAAATGTACAACTAAAATTACCCGAAACGTACAATCCACAGACCCCACAATTATATGCGGATGGGGAGAGAATAAAGGGGTGCGGGAAGCACAAAATAAATACACGACCTCTCCACTAAATGTTTTTATTTAGTTCAAGTCCAAATCACAACCAACTGCTCCTATGTTTTAAATTTGCACATCCTCAGTCTAAACATTACTTTGGTGTCAAATATCTCGGCTCACTTTTTAAAACTGATGGTCAATTAAAAATGTAAATTTAATGATAAATTTAATAACAAAGCACCAAAGGCCTAGAAACCTAAACTGCTCCTTGCTGTGCAGACAGCCTATAATCACTGTTTTCTTAATAATTATGGAAGCATTCTCGGGTGTTCAGAAATTACTTCACTTCCCAGGTCCCAAATTAAAGCGGCCACTGGACCCAGACCTGCATGCACGTGGGGGTGTCACTTGCCTGCACCTACCCAATAATAATCCACTCTGCTGGCGCCAGAAAAGTCAGGCAGGGAGGGAGAGAGGAGGGGCTGCAGGCCACCGTGCCCAGAGTCAGGAGAACCCAGCACAGTACAAACGTCATTACAGCAAATTTAATCGTATATTAGCTTCACCTTCATTATACAACCACTGAGAAATACTTACAGTGCTCTGAGATTATTTGCTATTGTAACAGGGAAATGTCCAACTCCTCTTACGTGTCAAGAAAATTTTAAGAAAAACTACAATTACAAAAGAATAAAATTCCTAGGCTTCCTTTCCACTTTATATCAAACAATAACTTTGACATTCTTAAATGAACTGCCAACATAACATCTAAAAAATACAGCTCAAATTAAATGGGAAAAGTTTAATGAAGCCAATAATTAGACACACTGTCATTTTTAAGGATGTAAATACATTTTCTAACACATTGGCCAAAAGTCTAGAAACCTTAAAAAAAAAAAAGAAAAGGCCTAGAAGCTTAAACCTGTTATTATGGGGCACACCTGTTAATATTTTATTATCTCTGTATGCTCGTGAGAGGTGAGGCAGGAAATGCTGAGTTGGCCACCCAAGTTTACGGTCGGGAGTAGCGGCCTCCTATACTGAACGCTACGTTGGGTGTTGAAAGGACTCAAGACGCTCAAGTTACCCACTTGAATTAATATTTTAAAATTTATTTCTTGGGCTTCCTTGGTGGCGCAGTGGTTGAGTCCGCCTGCCGATGCAGGGGACACGGGTTCGTGCCCCGATCCAGGAAGATCCCATATGCCGCGGAGCGGCTGGGCCCGTGAGCCATGGCCGCTGAGCCTGCGCGTCCAGAGCCTGTGCTCCGCAACGGGAGAGGCCACAACGGTGAGAGGCCCGCGTACCGCAAAAAAAAAAAAAAAAAAAAAAAAATTCTTGTTCTAATAACTTGATTAAATAAAGATGAATTTATGCAGAAAAAGGATTACCATCTATGTCTCCAGGAAGCACACTTCTTGATGAGACTGACTAGAAAACTTCACTGATATTTATATCAGCACACTGCCTGAATGCAGTTAATGGTCAAAGGCACCAGCTGTTTAGACATTTCATGTCACTGGAGACTATTTTGTTCTACAGAAATACGTGTTTCCGCCATAGAAAAAAAAAATTAACCAGTATCCTACCAAACTCACCAATGTCCTGTCTCTTATTCATATAGGGTCCAGTGGGACAGTTAACCCCGTGTCCATCACCAACTACTGGGATGGATCTTACACATACTCAAACTAAAAGTAAGCCAATAAACTTTGTCTTAAATGGACTTAAAGATATTTTAGAACCTCATCCAAAGGTAATTTACCTTTCCTTGCATTCTAGACTATTCCATCCATTATTATACCTCAACTGAGCTCTGAAATTCCTAAAACGTCACATCAAGTCTGTTAGTTTTTGCATGTCTTCTTTCCTAAAAGAATACTTTCCCCAGACAGTTTTAAGTTCATCAAAGTTATGATTTTAATGAAATTACTAGTAAAAACCTATAACTTCAATCTAACTAAAATGTATACTTGTGTTCTCAACAAAGATAACAAATAACTCTGCATTAATAATTTAGGCAGACATACGATGGGTGAGTTTACATTCACTAAGTCCTCTGGCCCTTCAGTAATCCTCAAGAAGGGCTGTCATACACCGTATTTTATAATGTGAAATCTCCTTAATTCATTGTCCCCCATCCAGCCCATTACAAGGAAAAGTGCCAGTTTCAGTGGACGACAACAAATTCGTTACATCAGTTATCTGCTATCGTGCAGAGAAGTGATAACTTACCGAAAGTGGGATTGGATAACCAATCATGGCAGTATCAGAGAAAAACAAATTCCCCGGAGTATGTGGCAAGCACTGCCTTATTCTCAGGCAACATAGGAACCAGTCGGAGAGACGAGACTGTAATTTTGGTGAAGAACCAACAGAAGCTGACTCCCACCAATAATGTACCAAAGCCAAAATTTTCACATCTGTGTCTTTCCTTTCTGGTAAGCAACCAATACACCTAAATCATATAAAACATTCAAAAAAACCCAAGACCATTTCTTTCCTCTGATTTTAAGCACGTTGATATTGCTTGACTTCACTAAAATATACTAAAACAAATGACAAATGATACAGTAATTGGGAATAATAGACTTAAAAGCACTATGTCTACATTTCTCGGACAAAGATGTTCAAACAAGCAGATCAGAGGTTCTGGATGTGAGTGTGGGGACAGAACCAAATGCATCAATAATAACAATCTCACTTTTGTTACCATATCCACAGCAAAAGTCCTTAGTCTCCCTGGGGGACTTGGACATGAAGGCCAACCAGAACTCTGCAAAGCACTGTGAACCAGACCCAGGGTGACTGCCCTCTTGCTTACACAGGACCAGCCTGGAAAGAGGGCCCAATTCTTAGGGCTCCCCGTTTCACTTCTACAATCAGATTCCTTTAAAGGATCTCACAGATAGTTTTTGGATACCGTTTCACTGGCCTCTTAAATGTTCTCTGCTTCAAATATATTTCTAAGGTAGTTTTGCCAAAAAACGATTCCGTCTCCTTAAACAGGCTCATTTAAAAAGCTCCAAAGACGGCAGGTTTAGAGGCAATTCTGTTTCACATTTCTCTAAGTCATTTTGCAATGACCCCTGCCATGAAAAAGGATTTCCCATGTGTATTTTCTTTGCAGGAGATTTATTTATTCAAACGTAATTACATAACCACTAAGCGCCCTGCAAAAGAAAAAAGTTCTTTTTAACATTCCTTAGCCTCAGGATTATTTGATTTGCTAACCTGGCTCACTTTTTCCTGGCATTAAAGGGAGAGTTAAAAAAAAAAAAAGCCAGTTTTTGAAAACCTTTTGCGCACTTGGGCAGCACCGCGGCCTATGGGCACACGCGGGCAGGATGAGTCAGTGGGATACACTGCAAAGAAATGAGATTAGTTGTCCCCAAAGCTGCCTCGCTGGAGACCAGTTGCTAGAGGGGAACGTGGGCCCCTTCGGTAAGCAGGTGCAGGGCCCACCCCAGGCACTCATTCCATTTGCAGGACTCATCACACATTTGCTCCAGGCCCAGTAAGACAGTTCGCAGGTCCTGGGTGCGCCCCGCGGAGAAGCAAGGCAGCCGCAAGCAGAGCGCGCAACGTTGCAGCGCAGCGGCCGCCAGGCCCCGTGGGGTCGTGCAAGGTTCAAATTCCGCCTCAGGATCCGGTTAAAGAGCAGGCTTGTTTTTCTTGTATAAAGGAAGTCACTCTTTCTGCGAGTAAAATGTGAACGTGACATGCAATCCACACACGCGAGGTGTGGGGATGGAAAACAGACCCTGCGAAAGTTTGGGCAGGGGCAAGACCACGCCAGCCGGGAAGGGAGCCCCGACTATACTCCGATGCTGGGGTCCCTGACGCGGGCCCGGCCCGGCCCGCCTGTGCCCTGTGCAGGGGAGCCCCGAAAAGCCTGCCGGGGCGGGGGAGCAGCGGTCAGGAGAACCTCCAGGGCAGTGCCCTCTACACAGCCCTCCTGAGACCGCGGCACCCAGGCGCCTCCGGGGGCCCGGAACCTGTTCCCCTTCCTTTTGGGGGGAAGGTAGAGCGGACGGTGGGGCGGGGTGCCGTGCCGGGTGCGGGGTGACCAGACTGGAACGCGGGCGGGAACCGGGCAAGTCAGCGACAGGGCTGGGGGCCGGGGCCGAGTCTCCACTGCCTTCCAACCCCACCCCCCACCCCCGGAGAGCCCTCGCGGGTGGCAGAGGAAGGCTCGGGGCTCGGTGGGGCTCTGCCCGCGGGGACCCCCAAAGGGATCGCGCCCACAAACGCACCCACGCGAAAAGCGCCCGGGCCTCGGCCTGACACTGTTACCCGGGCAACGACCCGGGAGCACAAAGTACACAACCCCCTTCCTTCGCGGGGCGCGGGCCCGCGGGCCGGAGAGAGGCGCCCCCGTCCCGAGGGCGCGCCGTGCGGGCGCGGGCGTCCGAGCCGAGCGGAGCCCGGAGCCGCTTACCCGGTCGGGGGCTTGGCCGCCGAGGCGTGCGGCGCGTCCATGAAGCCGGCGGGCGGGGGGCGCGGGCGGCGCTCTGGCCCCGCGAGTCAGGCGCTCGCAGACGCCGCCGCCGCCCTCATTCACTTTTTCCGCGCCGACCCATCGTCCTCCCTCGCGGGCCGGCGGAGGACAGCGGCGAGGCCGGGACGACGGAAGGGGCTGGAACCGACCCGCGCGGGCGGGAGCGCGGGCCGCGCGGGGAGGGGCCGGCGCGGGGCGGGGGCGCCCGGAGTAAGGTGCGCCGCGCCCCCGGGAGCGCCGCCCCCGCCGCCGCCGCGCGCCTC